GTGATTTGTGACCGTTAATCGATAATTATTCAGAAATCGTGAGATGCGGTCTGGTGTGATGTAGGTTACAGAAAAACATTTTCTTTATCGTGCCAACGTTTTGTAGCTGATCTCAATAAAGATCGAAACGTTGGCACGATAAAGAAAATGTTTTTCTGTAACCTACATCACACCAGACCGCATCTCACGATTTCTGAATAATTTAAGACTACAATGAGTGTGAATCACCTTTTTCTGTACAACGTATACATTGAGCAAATAGTATGTATATATACAAATCTGTCAGGCAGGAAGCAGTGGTTCTCGAACTCTGTTTATTTAAGTGAGTGGGTTAAATCTAATTGGTTGGGTATAACCAAACGGTTGGGGCCGAGGGATTCGGCCATGTGGAATCGCACTCAATAACCTCAACACTTTCGATGTTATCGCTGGAAGTCCGGCAAATAATGCAAAATAAGCAAATCACGGCCAAGGAAACGGTTGGCTGTCTTTCGTTGGCCGAGATTTGCTTAGTCAGTACGCCCTTTATGTTGAAAGTATTGAATTCGTTGGATGTTAGGTGATTTGAGCGAGCCTCACAGTTTTGCTCCGTAAGGCCAAATAGGTCTGATGAGTGTTTTGTAAGCGGTTAGTTTGTTATTTACGCTTAGTGTTGATTTTGGTCCCAGTAGGTGTCTGAGTAGACCATATCTTGTAGTTATTGGTTTGAGACTTGCAAGCGGTTCCATAAGTCAAGCACAACAGCGGACTTGGTTCGATGATGGTATTAGGGGTATTCACGATGTTTGTAAGAGGTTACCTCGTCTTAACTCGAATAGAGAAATATCCAGCAAGATCGTGAACGCCCCCTTCTTTTCTTAGCATGTTAAACGTTAATTTTTCCGCAATGCTGCGCGTGGCGATTGGTAGAACCAAACATAAAGCTATAACACAATGTTGTTGCTGTTTTGGTTTTCTTTTGTGTTAAATTGTAAGATGCCAGAAGTTAATAAAAAAGGAAAATTAATCAACACTTTCATTCAAACTGCTATCTATGGAGTCTAAAAGTACTAACAAATGATATGCTTCAATTCGTGCCGACATACCTAACCTGCATCCTAACGTCTAACAGCATACAACTTTATACGATAGGGGATGTATCTATTATGAATGTCAGTATAAGTAAAGGTCAAAAATTAACAACAGAATTGTATTGGTCTGATTTTATTAACGCGTATTTAAGAATAAAAATACGTGTCAACAAAAAAACAACTGTTAAATTCATGGCTGCCATTTTGGTTACCTACGCCCTAACGGATTACAAAGTGACTACATTTTCGACCTGACATCTAATATTTGCCCTGGTCTGTTAGAACAAGCAATGTTAACTAGCCGATTCTTACAAGTCTACGTCATCATTTTTCTCGATCTAACAGAGTTAACAGGTTAACACAAAGATCGAGAATATCCCTATTATCATGTTGTTAATGTGCAAGGTGGGAAGGTTTAACGTTTGAGCGTAAATTAACTTGTTTCCCCCCCACCCAGGGCATATTGCTGAATACTTTGCGAATATAATCGCGCGTTTCTTGCGGCATTAAGGCCATTCCTTGCTCTTGCACATTATCGATACCCCATTTCAATCTGATCCGCCACCGATTGCTCCAATCGGTAATGTTGAACAGCTTCTGTGGCTAGGATAGGAGTGTGTTGATAAGACAGTGGTGTCGTCGGCGTCGGTTGTGAGTTGTGTGTTTGGACGAGTGGGTAAATCAGCAGTGTTGATGGTGTAGAAGATTGGGCCTAGGATAGTTCCCTGTGGAACACCAGCTTTCATTGGCATGACGGGTGAAAAATCGATGCCAGTACTCACTTTAAACTATCGATCCGAATGGAAGGAGGTTTGAGGAAGAATACAAAAAAATTGTAAGATTGTACGAAAATGTGCACTTATTGATGAGTTCACTCATTTCGTGGTCCGCTTGACCAATTAATACATTACAATTAATTAAGGTTTTTAGTTGAGATGAAAAAAGTTAATGGCAGAGCCGGATTCGAACCCACGATTTCGGCTAGATACGCCGCTGCTCTACCACTTGAGCTATCGTGACCTCGATCTACTCGGACGTCAACTTCCTATCTCAACCCCACCTTATGAATTTTCCCTCCTTTTTGCCATTTTCGACGTATCTAGCCGAAGATCGTGGGTTCGAGTCCCGCTCGTGCCATTAACTTTTTTCATCTCAACTAAAAACCTTAATTAATTGTAACTTATTGATGAAGTTGGAATATCTACACTTTAAAAATTTTGTGTTATTTATTAGAATAATATTAAATCTCTGTGAGAAAAACTGAATGGTCTCACATGGTTCTCACATATGATTTCTTGAGGACAAAATCCACTTTTTTTCGTGGGGATATCTATTAATTTGTCCATTACAATTATTAAAGATGGCATAATGCCGAAAACGTCTGACACACCAGGCAGACGAGAAAGAGGGACACCGATCAAACTACTGATCCGATAATGACAAAAAAATTCGTTGTCTCATTATGAACTCCCATTGAATTCAGAGTGTAATCGTGCAAAAAAATGGTGTTTATTAAAAGAAAAAAAATGAAAGCGAGTGTATAAAACAAGTGATAGATTTGTGTGTAGTGTTTATTGCTCCGTTTATTCCGGACCGTCTAAAGAGCATGTAGCGAGAAGCCTTTTGTTTCAAAATAATTCACTCACGGCCAAAACGTGTTCAAGCTATTTCAATCCTAGCTGTTAAACTCCAAGAATAATTTCCCTTTTAAACTGGAAAGTAATATCAGACAGCAATTAAGAAGTCATTCTCCATCGTAACTTTTTATAGACAACCTTGGCTCTGCCTAGCGACGACTCCAACCCCAATTTGTATGGAACTGATCATTAATTTAGAATCAGAGAAAAGCTAGCACCTATTTGGTTTATATATATAAATATATATTGGAAATGGAATAGTTAAGGTATTTTTATTCGTCACTTTCCTCTGAGATCTCCTATTTATTCAAGATGTTTTGCTAATCNTTTTGTGTTGCAAGTGATTTCAATTACTCTACACTCCTCCCTCATCCTACATATATATATATATATATATATATATATATATTTTATTCCAGTGACAAAACCAGAATATAAAGTAAGGTATAATTAATGCAATAAGAAAATTCTTAACCCCACTATTCAATAAACAATTTATATAAATAATTTTCACTTTGACTTTTAGCAAAATTTAACCAATAAAGCATTCCTATCGTAGAAACTGGAGAAATGTTTAATTCCTTAAAATTCACAATAGATATCAAATGATGATTATAGTATGTCAATTAAGACACATAGCAACGATATGAAATATAATAAAAACCCAATACAAATATCCATTTCAATTTGAAAACGTATAAAGGCATAACATACAGCGAGATCATGTTTAATCCTCTGATATACGGGTGTAATAGAAAAAACAAAAATTAAAGAAAATATTAGAGCTTTAAATGTTTCCGTGTAAATTCTCCAGTACGTACTTCCTTTAGATATAGACAACGAGTGATAGATATAACAGGCTCTTAAAGCCGGGAGCACACTTACCAGAATCCACGCTATGCTACGCTACCCGACGACTTGCCACGTTTTGGTAGGGTGTGCACATCTATGCGACGTCAAGCGCACGCTACGTACAGTCACACAGCGTGTATCACAAATCAGTATTACAATCGCAACGCCGCTTTTGTTCTTAATGCATTATTTTGAACAAAACCATGAAATAAATTGTTAGTTAAATTTTATGAGACAACCATGTAATAAATTGTTTGTTAAATTTAATTGTTTTAAATAAAGTTATTCCGGTGTTTTGAAAAATTTTATGCTTAACCATCATAATTAAATATTTTTTATAAAAACTCATGAATTTTTGACTCGTTTAATTTGGTTTATATTAAAATAAGAATGTTGTAATTAATATAACGACAAAATTACATATACTTAGTTTGAAATAAACTACAAAAAATAGGAGTGTCCTGTTCCGACGCTACTGGACGAAAATGGTGTAATTTTATGGGCAAAATCATAAAATAAATTGTTAGTTAAATTGTATGTGCAAAACCGTGTAATAAATTGTTTGTTAAATTCATTATATCAAAAAATAGTATTCCGGTGTTTTGATCAATTTTCTACCAAACCATTAAAATTAATTTTTTTAAATAAATTCACTAGTTTTCGTGGTCCGCTCGACCAATTAATATCTTTCAATTAATTAAGGTTTTTAGTTGAGATAAAAAAGTCAGTGTCACGAGCGGGATTCGAACCCACGACCGTCAGCTAATACAACGCTGCTCTACTACTTGATCCACTCGGACACTAACGTCCCATCTCAACCCCACCCTTTCGAATTTTCCCTCCTTTTTTTGCCATTTTGCAAATGTTGTGTAATCTATTTGATTCTCGGCAACAAATGAAACTTTATTTTAAATAAAACTAATGAATTGTTGATCTCGGTTAATGTGGTGTATATTAAAGTAAGTATGTTGTAATTAATGTAAAGACAATAATACATGTAGTTTGAATAAAAATATTGTTCCGGTTCTTTTGTCTTTGACTGACTCGATGCGACCCGACGAAAACCTGGACATTGGGGATCGCAGAGCGAAGAGTAGGGTAGCGTTGCATAGCATCGTGCAGATGTGCACGTGGGTAATACTATATTATGGAAAAATGGACTTTGGATTTGCATCGGGTAGCGTCGCACGGCGTTGCATCGGGTAAGTGGATTCCAGGCTTAAAGAAGGTAGCGAAGGAGGCGGTGGGAAGTTGAATTTTTTGCATGCAGATGCCAAATACAGTTAAACGCATGAGTATCGTCTAAGAACCACCGAATACGTGGTCCTTTCCTTGCATCCAAAATCACATCTACAATTGTCGTTCTTTTATAAGTCATTTCAAGGATTGTCTCTGAACAACACCTGATTTTTATTCTTTGTGATGTTTTAATATTTCATATGGATGTATATCCTTACACTATATAAACATATGAATTAGGTTTTTTTTCTGTTGGCCACTTTATCACTGTTAAGGTTTTGTAGACATGTTACGACTTATTAACTCGAAAAACTCTTTTGCTCACCATGGTCTCTGCTTGTTTAAAGGGATAGAGAGGAACATTCAGCAAGGTATTTTTCAACAGCGATTCTATGCGAAAGATGTTAAATTTAGGACAGAGGCAAAGACTTTACTCCTCTCGGGCGTGGACAAAATTACCGACGCGGTGTCGGTGACACTTGGCCCGAAGGGTCGGAATGTCATTCTGCAAGGGCCTTGGACCCCGAGGGTGACGAAGGACGGTGTGACAGTCGCCAAAAGCATCGAATTGTCCGACCCGTATGAGAATCTCGGCGTTAAAATTATAAAAGACGTGGCGAAAAACACGAATCGGAAGGCCGGAGACGGAACGACGACCGCCACCGTACTGGCGAGGGCGATAGCGAAAGAAGGTTTCGAATCCATCCAAAAAGGTGCAAACCCGATAGAAATCAGGAAGGGTATTATGATGGGTGCGGAAGTCGCCCGGGACCACCTTTCAGCGATATCCAAAAGGATTGAATCGGTAGAAGACTACGAACACGTAGCAACGATTTCGGCGAACGGCGATAGAGAAATAGGACAATTAATCGCAAAAGCCCTCAAAAACGTTGGAAAAGAAGGTGTCATCACAGTGAAAGAAGGTAAAAAGTTAAAAGACGAAATCGAGATGATTAAGGGGTTAAAGTTAGACAGTGGATACGTTTCAGCCGCTTTTGTAAACACCAAAGCAGGTGATAAGGTAAAATTTGAAAATTGTCTCATTTTTCTTTGCGACTCTAAGGTTTCAAGCCCCAAAGCGTTGATTCCGGTATTGGATCTCGCTGTCGTGAAGAAAAAGCCTTTACTCTTGGTGGCGGAAGACTTCGAACAGCAAGTTCTGTTTCTTTTGATTTTGAACAACAAACTCAATCGCGGCTTAAAAGTGGTCGCGGTGAAATCTCCGGGAGTGGGAAATTTCAAAAAAGATACCTTGTCGGACTTGGCCTGTGTTACTGGAGGAAAAGTGTTTGGAGACGAATCATGCGATAAGAACATGAAAGCTGTGGACTTTTCCTTCTTCGGCACAGCGGGAGAGGTCATCGTTTCCAAAGAGGAGACTCTGGTGTTAAAGGGAAAAGGTAAACAAACGGAAATAAACGAAAGAGCAGAACAAATACGGGAAATGTTGAATGAAGCGCCGAATAATCTCGAGAAGGAAAGACTGAAAGAAAGACTGGCCAGATTGTTGAATTCCATCGCCATTATACATATCGGAGGCGGGAGCGATGTGGAGGTCACAGAGAGGAAAGATCGCGTCGAAGACGCTCTACAGGCGACGAGGGCGGCTCTGGAAGAAGGTATCGTACCCGGAGGAGGAGTCGCACTGCTCGCCTGCGTCGACAAAGTGAAAACAATCGAGCCCGAGAACGAAGATCAAAAGATCGGCCTGAAAATTCTCGTCAACGCTTTGAAATCGCCGTGCATGACGATCGCGGAAAACGCCGGCGTCAACGCGGGTGCAGTCGTGGAAAAGCTGTTGAAGATGCCGCCCAACTTCGGATACGACGCAATGAAGGACGAGTACGTCAACATGATCGACGCCGGAATCATAGATCCGGCAAAAGTCGTGAAGACTGCTCTTTACGACGCCGCTGTCGTAGCTTCCCTACTCACTACGACAGATGCTGCTGTTACCTTCGTTTTCGACGGAGACGAGATTGTTCTATGAAACTAGCCAACACACCATGCTATTTACCATACCTACTACGCTATTTTTTACCCATTTTCAAATTGAAATCAAATGGAAAATAAATGTTTAAATAATAATAACCACATTATTAGTACTGTGGTAAGGAAGGTTATGTCTGACTAACACTTTAAAATATGACTAAGACAATTTCGCCTTAATTGTTTTGTTCCCCCGTCCAACAAAAAAAGTAAAAAATTATCTAAACTTGTTTAAAAGAACTACTAGCTAATTACTTAGACCAAGATCTTAGACCAAAACCATTTAATACCAAGACTTGTCGAACCAAACATAACGTTTTGATGAAAATACTGATATTTTTATGAGTTTCCATGCTTCGAGGAAATTTTATACTTTCTAAATTTTATCAATGCGTTGAGAAGATTACGATCATGTTGGGTGGGCAACCTTTTCTGCTCGTCTATAGTGGGTCGGCATTCATTCGGGGTGATAAATTCAATGAGACGAATCGTTTTAGTTATGGAAGAAATATAAATGAAAAATATCTAGAGACATTTGAAAAATGGCAAAAAGGAGGTTTTCTTATATTTATATATNAACTAATTCAAATGGGATGCAAGTTTAGGGGATCTTATTGTGCTTAACGTCTTCCTTCGGCCTTGCCCTGAAAGGGAAGACCCAAGGAAGAAGGGAAATATTTTTCTTATTATTAATTTATCTAATCTAATAGGTCTCCCCCTTGCTGGTTAATCCTTTTGAATACACATTCTAATAAATACAATATTTCAATAAATAAATAACAATTATGGGTACAAGGAGTAACCAGCCCGGAATTAAAGTTCAGGGAAACGCTAAGATCTAACAAGTAACTTATCATAGGGAGAAAAAGAAGAAAAAAGAAAGAAAGAAAAAACTAGTCAGGTACTTTATCCACTATAGCTCGGCTAACAGGCTTGAGGACCTCATCCGTCCTCTTTTCTTTAACCAGTTCGTTGAGGGTCTGTGGCCAAGTGTGGCAGAAGAGGAGCTTTAGTGGTTCCCTCACCCTCTCAAGGAGGGGGCAGTTGAATAGTCTGTGTTGGACACTGTCATCAACTCCGCAGTCGGAACACAGTGGACTGTTAGCTCTACGGAATCGGTGCAAGTAAGCGTTGAAATTTCCGTGACCTGTCATTATTTGTGTGATCCAGAAATCTGGTTGAAACCACTTTGCTCTTGCTCGGTCCTCAATACTGGGCAGAAACTCGTGAATAACCAAGCGTTAATCTTCGCTTGGTGATTCTGTCCCATCTTTCCTGCCACAAGTTGTCTATCCAAACTATAAGGATCTCCCGGATCTGCTGTCTAGGTGCAGTTCGTAGCCTTTCCCTATCTGACGCAACCAAATTTACCATTGTTGGCTCCTTTCTATCTCTTAGATGCCGGATTGCAATTCTACTGTGGAGGACAATGTCTATTGGTGCAGCGGAAGCAAGGACTTGGAGGGCGTGAGTAGGGGCTGTCCTATAAGCTTTAGTCGTTCTCAGGAGCGCTATTCTTTGACTCTGCTCGAGGATGCTTCTACTCCTTCTTTGCAATTTTGTTCCCCAAACTGCTCCTTCGTACCGTGGCAATGGCTTTTGTAAGTGATGGAGAGCGCCCTTGGATCTAGCCCCCATTTTGATTTCGCGATCGAGCTTAGTTTCGAGAAGACGCATCTCTTCATTTCTCTGATCTTGATGGCATGGTTTGTAGGACTTAGCCTTTCTCCCAAAACTATACCTAGGTACTTTACCTTTTCGCTCAGCTTGATTCTTTTCCCTTCGATCTTAATCACGGGGCTTGTACTTAATTTGCCTTTTAGCATTAGCGATTGGCATTTGTCAGGAGCAATTTTTTATTTGGCCTCTTTGCACCATGTTTTGATCGCCGTCACCGTTGCTTTTGATTTTTCTTCTAGCTCTTTCTTCGTATCGGCCTCTATGATGGTGACAAGGTCATCCACGAAAGCGACGAACTGAGCTCCCATTTCCTCCAGCTTTTCCAGGAGGCCGTTGAAGACAACTTTCCAGAAAAATGGGCTTAGGACTGATCCTTAAGGGCACTCTTTTATGACATTTTCTGTCGTAACCGTTTGCTTCGTTGCTATCTCAGCCCTTCTTTCGTTAAAATAGCTCACGATCAATTTGAAAATGTTTTGAAGGATGCCCTTTCTTTTGAGCTCATTTAATAATGTTGTCATTCAACGGAGTCGAAGGCGCCATGGATGTCGAAAAATATTTCTCATTTAGGTTTTCTTATATGTCAAATTCAACAGTTTAACTTATGATTTTTCCTTCTTGAAGGTGGGATAATAGGTCATCTCAAAATAACCACAATCAGTTTTTATCCACAACGTTTCGGATTTATTTTAATCCTTCCTCAGTTAGTTAACGCAATGGTTAAAACATTAGTCATTAATATTTTACAACAGTTTATTTTAAAAAAGAGCCAGTGTGGTACATATTCAGACTCCGAACAAACGTTTTAATATTTTGAACCTGACTTTAAAAAAAACTGTTATAAAATATAAATGACTGATGACCACTGTTTTAACCATTGCGTTAAATCACCTGAGGAAGGATAAATCCGAACGTTGTGGATAAAAACCGGTGTGGTTTTTTTTAGATGACATATTATTCAAGAAGGAAAAATGATAAGCAAAAAGGAGGGAAAAATTAAAAAAGGTGGGGTTGAAAAGGGAAGTTGTTGTCCGAGTGGATCGAAGTCACGATAGCTCAAGTGGTAAAGCAGCGGCGTATTTAGCCGAAGGTCGTGGGTTCGAATCCCGCTCGTGACACTGACTTTTTTATCTCAACCAAAACCTTAATTAAAAAGATTAATTAGTTTAAAATAATTTATTTGGTCAATCGAACCATGAAACTTAATAGGAAAATGAAAGAATCGAAGGAAAAGTATAGATTGAAAAAAAAGAAGGTATAGGTTTGTAATTATGGATAATGCAAGTAAAATAATTTATTCGTGTTTTCAGGAGAAAAGCGTTATTTAAATTTCTTAACGACTACTACTACACTTACTATACAGGTTGTAACTGAACAGATTGTTTTCATGGATTGTTTTATGTCTGAAATGTCGTAGTGTAAAGAGATGCCGATAAAACCCGTCACCTACACAATTTCTACCGGCCGAGTAAAAAGTAAAAGAGAGAATAAGCAGTTAATTTTCTAAATTCCGACCGGGTATTGTTTAGTCGGAGAAAAACAATGGAGTAAGCTGTTGACAGCCTTTAGACAAAAAAGGACCTGAAAGGAATTAAAGGTGGGTGAGATATGTTTGTTAGATGGGCTGGGCGATAGGGATTGCGGCCAGGGCACAAATCTTAAACCAGGTCTAATAAATAAGGGTAGATTGAGTTTTGTGGCCGATCAGATGCTGAGACCGTCATAGCCCCCTCGTTCACTCACTCGCTCACTCTCTCTCTCTCACACTCTCTCTCTTTTTCTCATCTCATCTCTCGATAAGCGATTTAATTAAAATGCTGTCCTTGCTCCGAGGATTGATGGAGACAAAGTGTCTCTTCCTCCAAAACCTTGATCTCACTTTAAGTGTTTCTAAGTCCCTGAAGTTTCGATTGAGATTTCACGTAACCCTCCTGGTTATCCACCAACTTAAAATCGTTTGGGCTGTAAATTTATTGCTCTTTTGAAAATTTAAAGTAAAAAATAGAACGTATTGTAATCGAATGTCAATTTCCTTTCTGGCATAGTAATAAAATAGTTATTGGGTACAATAAAAATTAAAAAGTAATTTATTACCTAATTTCAGAAGCGTCAGTACAGTTAAGAAATAATTACAGAACACAAAGATTTCACAAAAGAATTCAGTTAATTTAGTTTATGTACAGTATCGATTAATAACCATAACCAAAATAAATAAGTTAATATAAAATAAGTCACCAATAATCGGGGTTTTGCAGTATTGTGGTATGGGAGGTGATGGACCTGTAAAACCTGAGTTGGTCTGACTGACAAACAGGAGATGGAGATTAATCGGACTAAAATAATAGTAAAAATTGCATACCCCAAATGAAAAAAAAACTTATATTCCGTATTATTATATTGCCAGCGCAAAGTTTTTATTCCGTTGTTTCGAAGGAATATATTCCACTCGTCAGGACTAGGAACCGGAAGTAGAAGAAAGAAAAAATACTTTATTTATACATTCTAATAACAAACAACTCAAACTTTCAAACAAAACAAAACTTGAACTTGGACCACATAATACACATACATATAAAAAAACTAGATAAAATTTTATCATAGAGAATAAGGAGAGTTGCTTGGAAGGAAAAGTATTTTACGACGTGCGTCTGTCGTAAGTTTTCTGTTTCTGATTTTATGAATTTTATGAATTATTAATTATTAATGAAATCAATTGAATTATTATTAATTTATCTGTTTAATTTATGTAATAATGATAATTATTTCAATACGATTATTTCATTACATGTATCTTAAACTGGAAAAAATGAATGGGGATATTGTCAATTTTGTAGTATCTGCTTTCCCTAGCATTTTGATTTTATTATAAATTGCATTAAAATTTATTAGAAATAATTTTTTGTACTGAACGAAAAATTAATTAAGGGATTGTGAAAAATAAAAGGTGTTCCATAATTCCATAATTTTGTTTATTGGACACGATAATTTTTTTAAACAATTCATAAGGTGTATAATGCCTTTTGTTAGCTAAAATATGCTAGGAATACTGTTAATAATTTTTTTAATTAATAAAGGTTTTTAGTTGAGATAAAAAAGTCAGTGTCACGAGCGGGATTCGAACCCACGACCTTCGGCTAGATACGTCGCTATCTCTACCACTTGCGCTATCGTGACTTCTATCCACACGGGCATTAACTTTCCATCTCAACTCCACCTTTTGATTTTTCCCTCCTTTTTGCCATTTTTACAAAGTGGCTTTTTCACCAAGTACACTTCACTAATGCTCTCCGTGACCGGCGTATCAAGCCGAAGGTCGTGGAATCGAATCCCACTCGTGACACTGCCTTCTTTATCCCAACTAAAAACCTTAATTAATTGAAAGCTATTAATTGGTCAAGCCGACCACGAAAATTAGT